TAAAGACATAGATCTTGAAAATGTATATATATATATATATATATATATATATATATATATGTCACTAGCAAGCAATGTATGTTTTGTGGAAATGTTAAGAGCCTGATCATGCCTTCATTTTTGAGTCTACTTCCATGTACTAAACATTTTTGCCAAGTGCTGTTGTTAAAAGTGTTCATGTGATGTGACTTATTATAACACTTAGATTTTTGGTTCTAAAAAAGCCAAATTTATTTATTTATTTATTTTTTTTAATCAATTCACCTTAAGCAAGGAGATAATGTCACTAGGAATAATGGGAGTAAAAGAGAATGAAAAGTCTTTAGGAACCAGAAACCAAATCCTGAACAAGAAACAAGGAATAATCTCTATCAAAACTTTAAATACAAAGGTTGATCGATGGTGAAGTGATGCATGTCATCTTTTATTTTTTTTGTCAGTTTCATCCCAACTTTTAAATATCATTAACACATTTTTGATATTTCTAAGGGTGTTTGAGAAAATTTTTTACATTTACATAAGAGAAAAATCCCTGAAGATGTTACTTGAGTAAAAATATATCTATTTACATTCAGCCAAGATAATACTGAAAGTTTGTCATGAATCTTACCAAAAATAACTTAATAAAACTTAAAAAAACATTTTTGTTGAGAGTTGGTATATTTTCTTTCACATTTGACACAAAAAAAATCTACAATGAATATCTATTCTTCAAAAATGTACTTGTAATTTTTCTTTGCAATTCTGAAATACTTCCAATAGATTTTTCTATTAAATGAAGATATGTTTTAAGAATTGGAAAATGTAAAGTTTAATACAACTTTTGAGTATTAACATTAGAAGGCTACAGTGGTTACGTCAGTTCATTATTTACTGTGTGTAAAACATTATTTTCGCCGTTTAAACAAAAAAATAAGTATTATTTTCGCAAAATCCAGTCCGTTATTCCTTAATTTTAGTAATTTACTTTGAAGCAAAAGAGAAATACTGGTATACCTCACACTACATCATTAAGTGTCTTGGGTAAGACGTTAAACTACGTCCACCAGCAAGGCCTCTGATCAAGAGGTTTTGAGGAGCGTGGAACCACCTCTTAATTGTTGGTGTTCCCAGGTCCACCCTGACCCAGGGTGGTAGCACCTGTTAGGGTCCCAGCTATGGGCAAATAGCTATTACCTGCAATACTTTTTTGAAAAAAATTATTACCAGCAATACAATTTTGAAGGAAATATATTACCAGAAACAGATTTTTGACAAAACAAAATATTACCAGCAATAAAAATTTTTGTCAGCATTAAATAACCCATTGAGGGTGATATGGCGTAAAACAAAATAAACCAAACAATATATTCATACGAATCTATCCTAAAAATGTTGTCGGCATTAAATAACCCATTGAGGTTGATATGCCATTAAACAAAATAAACCAAACCTACATTGTTAATTGGTTCCAGAGGTCCCGACTTATGTCGAAATAACCATACTATAAATCGCAAATAAGCACTCCCCAATGCCTATTACAATATTTATGATTTTACGTATAGTATCCTTGATTTTCCCCTTATCTTCCAGTAATATAGGCTTACGCTTAGCATCAGTACTGGGACTTTTCTCCAGAGCCATAGACAAAAATGTATTCTAAATCACAACTGAAAGAACGTCAATGGCATAGCACAGATATAAACAAGTCTGAATTCAAAATCGGTGTTGGAGCAGAAAACAACACATGATTGCAGCCTGTCGGCAGGAATTTGAAATAAGAATATCTGCTGAACATACTTTATTATGCTATTTTTTTGCTTTTGATGATTTTATGATATATTTATATAATATTATTTTTAAAATTTAAATATGCTTTTATATGTGTTTATTGTTATTTTACTGTTTTCACATTCTAATATTTTTAATGGCCAATGCAAAATCTAGTAAAACAACTTAAGGTGAGTTTTATTTTCCATATAACACTTAGGAAAAACTGACATAACTTCGAAAATGACTTAAATCGAAACGACTTAAGCCAAAGTACCACTGTACTTGATTTAAGAGATTTTTAAATTTATTTCCATTTGATATCAAAAATAGAGATTTGATGAGTGAATGTGGCAATGTTTTAAAAAGTTAAAACTTTATTTACATTTGTATTTTTTTTTTTTTTTTGTAAATTAGCTTTACGTTATCTTTCAAATAAAAACACAATTTAATTTCAAAGGAGACATTTAAATGTTTTTCTTATATTTTCTTTAATTTATTTTTATTTTTGCATCATTAAAGAAAATATAAGAAAAACATTTAAACTGTGTAATATCCATCAATGAAACAATTTAAAAGGTGGGGGTCAGCTGGCAATGTTCATTCACTTGGTCACCAATAAAAATTTTGATGTGTCAGTTTTGTGATGTCAACAAATACTCATTGTCACTTTTGTAATGCTCATTGTAGTAGAGACATTGTAATTGCCGATACAACTATAGGACGCCGTTGAACAATGCTGGTGTCAGATGCGTTCGAATACCACTCGCACTAATAGCACTTGCTCAATAATACTTGATTGAATAGTAATCCATATAGTGATCCCAATAGAGAAATAGTATAGTGAATAGAATAGAGAATAGCGATCCAAATAGTAATAGAGGATAGAATAGAAATCAACGATCAGACAATCAATTAGACACACGCTACCTCCCATATATGCGTTTCCTCTAAGGTCATATGGTCTACTTAATTCAATAATGGGATTGCCTGTGTTTGCTCACTGGCAATCTATGTTCAAACTCAAATGTTGGCAGCAACACTTTATTCCTATATAACGGTTAGACCAGACTTTCTTTTTTCTTTTTTTGCACAAAATGAATAAAGGATACCCTGTTTTTTATTCATGTGCAACTCGAGTTATGTAGGTGCAGAGATATGAAAACAACTAATTATTAAAGAGGGGACATTGCTCTACAAGGAAGTGTAAATTTTGTTTTTTACAAGTGTTGAATTTCTGTCCACTAAATTTTTCAACTAAAAAATTTTTTGTGACAGACAACTTCAAACTTTATATCAAATTGATAAGCATCCTTTTTTTTTTCTTTAGAATGGGACTATTTTGATATGTGTAGGGAGACACAATTGGTAGTGTAACAAATTTGAAAAACACCACTGAAATTGTTGACTGAAAAAAACGGAGAAAAAAAAAATCCCTGTTAATTGTTGAAATAGTGACATAATTTAAAGAGACATGGAATAAAAACTAATCATCAAACATAAGAAACATTGGTAACATTCTTCAGAAAGAGAAAAGATTAAATTTTGTTTACATACTAATTTTATCAAAATAACCTAAAAAATAACCGGGATATCAGAAGTTGAATTGGAAGGAAATTTCACTATTTTGACACTTGTTCACACCGTAAACTAAGAGCAGTTTTAGCTACATTCAAAAATGATTTTAACACAGAGGAAATTAGTGTTAAGCACACATGCATACAAAAAAATTCAGCGTAGACAGAAGAAGTTCCCCCTAGTATATATTCTGATGAAGTGATTCTCAAACTTAGCCAATTTTTTTTTTTATTTATTTGTTTGTTCATGCTCCTTTTCTATTATCTTTCAGAAAGTCATTCCCACTTTTTCAAAGATTGCCCAACTCAGAAGATGTATTGCAGAATTGTAGCTTGTACAAAGATCAACATTTTAACAATTTGAACCTGCCTATCTGTCGTCCAAATTAATCCTCGCCCGAGAACTACTGGCCTGCAGATTATGTATTCCAAGGCATATGGTTGAGTGGTCAGAATGTTCATTTCCTGATTATGAAACTCGAGTTTGAATCTTAACATGATAAATTTGTCAGGAAGGGGACTTCTAGATAATATCAGCCTGGGCATGTGACCCCAGTGCCTGGTGTTGTTGGAAAATGCTTGAAAAAATATCATGGGTAGACTCAAGCCTTACAAGTGGAATGGGTTGGATGATACTATTTGGAAGTCATCAATAGTTGTGCTAACATGAAGTCACAAGTCCGAGGATTTGATTGTGCTGGCTTTATTCAAACTGTTGATCATGCCAGGTTATGCACTCTCTCCCAGAAACTGTATCTGAGCAGGCAAACACGGATTGGTTAGTTACCCCTAGCAGATGTGTGTGCTTGGGAATGATTAGCCAACCATGACTTATTTCAGAATCATTGGCAAACTGTAAACAACATAAAATCTAACAAAGTTGGACACAAAAGATATTTGACTTATATATTAATCTAAGTCAGTGTTTCTCAAATGGAGCGCCTGGGCACACTGGTGTGCCCGGGAGGATGTCTAGGTGCGCCCTGGCATTCCAGAGAAATGTATTCAGATACAAGAAATAAATATATTTACTTTATTATATTGTGGTACCCATCTTGTTCATATTTATGTGAATTAAACTTTTCTGCTCTCACCACAATTACCATATTTGATGGCATATAAGACGCATGGCTGTATAAGACACGCCCCAATTTCAGCAGGGCAAATCAAGAAAAAAAATTAGTAATTAGTAAACCTACATATGGCATATAAGACGCAGGGGAATTTTAAAAGATATTTTTAGTAAAAAAAAATAAAAAAATAAATAAAAAGTGCTCCTTATATACTGTCAAATATAGTAAGTGCAAAAAAAAGAAAAAAAAGAAAAGAGGAACTCTTCAATTTCAATATATTGATGAGGAAATGAGAGTTTGCCTATCAAATATACACCCAAACATTGAAAAAATTGCTAAGACTCATCAGGCTCATGCTTCTCATAAACACAAGGATGAATAAACTTAAGGTATGTTTTATTTTATATTTTTTTTTTATTGCATTATTTCTTTTTTGCAATATTTGACTTCATTATAACATATTTTTCCAAAATTTGTATATAGTGTGCCTACAATTATTGGTAAGATTTCAAGTGCACCTCGACTTCAAAAAGTTCAAGAACCACTGATCTAAATAAACTAAAAAAAAAAAAAAAAAAAAAAATCAAAAAAATCCACTTACTTTACAGGGTCAATATTGGTTACTCGACTGGCCAACTGAGATTCACAGGAGCGACTTTTCTTTAGTGAAGTGGCATCAGGGAACAGTTGAACCTTCTTTTTTGGAGGAGGGGTACTCGGGTATTTTGTGCCTATTGGCTTGGCTCGTACCAGAGGTGGCGTTGGAGGAGGGGTGCACCTGTGTCGCTCCTTTGGGTTACGATACACGGGCGACGATGGGGTGCTCTGTGGAGGTGTGGGCAGCTGGGGTGGCAAGAAACTGTCTGGAGGAAGAGACGACGTTGATGGACGGGGAAAATATTTTGGAGAGCCTCCACCTCCACCACCACAGCCACCTTCACCACCACCCTCGCTTGCTGCACTTCCACCAGCCTCTCCTCCACCCCCTCTTTCACCACTGCTGCTTACATTGCTGCCGCCACCCACAGATGATGATTGTGATGCAGTATAACTGGTCCAGTGAAGTTCTACATCATTGTCATCAGTATCAACCCCCTTTATTTGTTTATCTGAAAAAAGAAAAAAAAAAAAAGATTTACATACACAGACGTGTCTATATCTGCAGACATTAGGATGTATCAAAAGTATTACTTTTATTTAATTTTGTTTTTTAGAGAACTTTACTATAGAATTTATTTCTGGTATACATTTAAAAGACTAGGGGCACTTTGATGTGGTGTAATGGTTAGCAAGCTTATCTTACTAGATCAATTACAACTTAAGTAGTGAGTTTGATCCTCACTAGGTGCTCCCTACTTTTGGCCTTGTGCCACATCTAAGTTACTCTTAGAAAGTCATTTTCGGGCCTTTTGATGTGATGTAATGATTAGTAAGCTTGTCTTGACCAATTACAACTGAGCAGTGAGTTCAATCCTCACTGAGTGCTCCCTACTTTTGGCCTTGTGCTACATCTAAGCTCTGCTTAGAAAATCTCTACATTTAAAAGAATATGTAATGACTATATTCACATCACCATCACTTTAAAAATTATTTTTAGTGGCTACTCATATTTAAGTAGACACTGTTTAACAGTATAATTATTTATTTTTGTCTATTGGCCTGAATTAATAAAGGAAAAAATATGTGCGTTCTCAAAATAATTAATTGTTTAATAAATAAACAGTGTCTACTCAAATATGGGTATCTATTAAAAATAATGTTTTAAGTGATAAAATATGTCAGATTAATAAATAAAAATCCATTATTTATTTAGAAATATATGTGTGTGTGTGTGTGTGTGTGTGTGTGTGTGTGTGTGTGTGTGTGTGTGTGAGATTACACCTCATGAATAAATTTGATTATTTGCTTGCCTGTCTATGTACTCCAACACGCAGCATATATGGTTGCTTATATCTAGTCATTTGATTTATCCTAATGTGTGTGTGTGTGTGTGTGTGTGTGTGTGTGTGTGTAAAAATCCATATATAAATAAAAATATACCTGTAAAAAGACTATGAATAAAAACAAAAGGAAAAAAATAAACATTCTTACCAAGACGTTTTGTCCTTTAGTAGACTTTATAAAGGTAAATGTAAGGATTTTATTTTGCAACATGAAGTAAAAAGATCTAAGATTTCAACAGTTTTTAGACTTGCATAAATATTATTCAGGTCATCAAGGTAAACTATAGAGGATGCAAAGTGATGCAGTTTAATGCCTAATAAATACATGTTGCGAAATATAATCTTTACATCTGCCTTGATAAAGTCCATTAGAGGATGAAATGTACAGTTTCAAAATCAGAGAGGGGAAAAAAATAGAAAGAGACATGCTAAGTATCTGTTCAGTTTTAGTTTATTATACATCTTCCCAGAAAATTATTTCATCATTTCTTGCAATACCTTATATATTTTTTTTGCTGAATCACCAAACATCTTATGGGTTTCAGTGTCAGTCAGTTATGTGCTGTACATGATACAAGCTTAGGCGATCATGCATCTTTCAATACATGACTGACAAGGCAGATTTTTTTTTCCCTGCAGTAGGTTGCCATTTCTTTCTGTGGTAGACCAGTTGCCATCCAAAGCTATAGAACCCGGTCTGTCTTACTATTTACCCATAGCTTTGTGGGTGGGGAAGAAGTGGATTCATACCTTTCCCAAGGGTATTAGCACATAAGTGAATGCAATGGTTTGAGTGGAATTCAAACTAGGCTCTCCGATATCTCAATCTGAGCCGCTATCCATTACTCCACCGCACAAACTGATTAAATGAAACCATTGTTTCCCACCACTGTCTATATCAATAATCTTAGAAGAGAGCAAAACTCAGACTATTTGCTTTCTCTTCATCAAAGTATTATGGCCAACTGAACCAGGATTTCCACATCCAGAGATACACCCCTTTTGTAACCTAATATACAAGTAAATACAAATAATTGTTCTTAAGCTTCAACCATTTTTGTGTTTCATGCATAAATGCAATCTTCAGGCCATAATTAAGCATAAAACAAACTGCTGCTGCTGCTGGGTGTTGACCTCAGTGTCCACTTATACATATAACTTTAAAAATTCATTTATCTTCAGAGTCGATCTTAATTTACAAATTCTTCTCATACAACATCTCTAGAATAAACAAATAAACAAGCGGCATTTCTACTATGTCACCTGGAGAGGCCATGACAGATGTATGAATTCATGTAGCAGACACTTTTGGTGATGTACAAAAGTGAGATATATATAATAGCTGGCCACTCGTATTCAAGGATACCCATCTATTAGGGTGGCTAGCCAATCCCTATTGCAGACGCTCGCTCAGGCACATTTGTGTTTGCTCAACACCCACAGAGCCCACCTGTGGTTTATACTGCAACTATGCTGGGAAGACCTTAGTTACAGTTTCTGGGAAAGAGCATGTTATCTTGTATGATCAACAATCTGAACAAGGCCAGCACAGTCAAACCCTCGGTCACGATGACTTGTGACTTCGTGTTAGCACAGCTATTGATGGCCCTGAAGTGTTCAGTCTACCCAATTTCACTCACAAAGCCTGGGTCAACCTGTGATATGGTTTTCAGGCACTTTCCCAAGGTGCCGCACGCTGGGATAGCCCTCTCCCCACTCCAGACCAATAACATTAGGAAGTATCCTTCCTGACAAATCAGCTGTGGTAAGATGCAAACCCTGGTCTCATGGTCAGAAAGCAAACGTTCTAACCACTCAGCCATGTGCCCATATATATATATATATATATACACACACACTTGCATATTCCTTTTATGTATATAAGAGTGCACTATTTTAAATTCTTTCAAAGAGCTTTTTAATACACATGAAATTAACATTTTTGTTTTATTTAGTGACATTTCATGCTTAGTAATTTTCAAAATAGGTCAAATTGAACCCATTTTGAAAAATCACTAAGCGTGAAACAGTAAATGTAAATGGGTAAATAAATGCCAAAAATGTTTGTGTGTATATATATATATATATATATATATATATATATATAGTGTACAGTGAGTGCTGGTAGTAATTAAAATTGAGTAGCATCAAACGGTGATGAACAATGTATAATTATTCTTAGCATATATAAACAAAATTTACCCACAATCCTTTGTCATCCTGATTATCTGCAAGTATTTATTTCAGAGTTTATTCTTTACAGTTATGGATATATGCTGATTTACATGCATATATAATAATAATTACTTAGTTCTACCAGTTCAGACCTTTACTTTTAAAATCAATTTACCCCAAGCAAGGTGTTAATGCCACTAAGATACAAGGGGTTATTGGGAGCGAAAGAGAACAAGAAGACATTAGAAGGAACGTGTAATTCAATCCTAAACAGGAAACAAGAGCCAAACCTCTACTCCTGTTCAAAAGAATGGGGAAGAGTATGAACTAGACTTTTACAGCTAAGACCCACTATGTCCTGTACAAAGAGTAGAAGCATTCTCATTCCCTTCGTATTCCATTTGTAAGAAGGAAGTTCCACTGTACAGAACAGACTCCTGAAACAATGCTTCTCCTGATTACTACAATATCAAATTCTTCAAGTTGAGGGTCAATCATTATATATCCTACATATCCTCATAAGCCCATACAACAACCTCATAAGTGCAACCTTAAAATAATAAACTTTAAACATTTTCCTATCCAATAATGTGTTGAATGTGTTTCTGTCTCATAGCATTTGTTTTTATTAAATTTTCAAAATCTCTTCTCTTAACTCTAATACAAATATAAAATTTGTCACTTAATTGATTAAAGTTATGTTCCGTACCCTGACTCCAGAGTTCCGTAGATGAACCTTTTTCCAATTGCTTGGTCCACTTGTCAAGAGGTTTCAGCAATTAACAGTCGATTTTCTAACTTTTGTTATTTTTATATCAAGTTAAAAAATAATATATGTCCTATTTATTGGTGTTAAGTTGAATTTTTTTTTGTCGGTGTGTGTGTGTGTGTAAAATGTCATGGTTATGTCTGTCTACAGTTTAAGTTTTGTAATGATGTGTATATATATATATATATATATATATATATATTTACACTGTTGTGGAAATGTTAACAAGATTAAATTAACAATAATTTGATTGAGGATTTAATTTATTAACCTTTTTTTTCTCTTTTCATTTTTTTTTTTTTTTTTTTTTATAAATTAGACCATCAAAATAAGAAGACGGGTAACACTTAAAATTTCAATTAACCCCCAAGAGTTCACTTAAGCTTCAATTATCTTTTCTTTAATGGTACAAACTCCATTACTTGTAACATTAAATTGGGGGGTAAATTAGAGTGAGGGATATAACCTTTTCTATGAATACATACACAATGGCAGATCAACAAATTCATAGCCTAGCATCACTGAATTTTGATCTGAAACTTTCACTGTATACTGTTAAGAGCTGTCATTAACTGAAAAATGTTGACTTGAAGATATTGACAATTGTATAAAAAAAAAAAAAAAAATGGATATTTGTATTTAAAAAAGTAAAAAACTTATTAGGTTACAAACATATTGATGTACCTACATACATCTATATATGAATAGATGCTGAAAAGTTCTAAGCCTGACCAAGAAGGCCTGCTAAGAAATTTAATCAGATTTTGAAAAGTGGATTAACAGAGCACATTTCAGAACCTTATGTGTGGTTGTGATATTTGCCTGCATTGTCAATGCTTACCAACCAACAACTTTATTAGACCAAGTAAAATTTTTTTAACCCCTTAAAATGATCAGTTTTGTGAATTGAATTATCTCCCTTAATCCCTTACCAGCTCATTTTTTTCCCACTAAATGTTTAATTTTTGGTGCCTATATTTTGTTTAATAAAGGGTATATAAAGTAAAAATCCCGGAAAATAAATTTCTCTTATTCAGCTTTTGCTAAAATTAAAGTGTAATTGAAAAGTTCATAGCCTGAGGCACAAGGAGATGAGGTATGACGTTCTATCCATTTACAGTTTATATTTTTTTGATTAGACTCATTTGAAATTCATAATTTATTCATTATTTTTTTGTTCTAGAAAATTAAAACTAGAGTCATCAAGCATTGAGAAAATGAA